TGTTGGTGCCATGATTAGCCGCATGGAGGGGGCTACTAATTTCTGGGATTCACTTCCGAAGTATGGTTGTCGTGCGAATGTGATTATTACTAGCTCGTTCCGGAAGCTCCTAATTGCCTTCAGAGTGGGCTGACTCTGTGGTCAATTTCAGCTGCAGGCTGCTTCCAGGATGACCTGAATAATGATTGAGAGGTGCATGCATGCAATAATGTCAGTTGCGGAAGCCCAGAGATAATGATGCTAGCTGCCCATCCCGACCGTTAAACACTTGCCAAAAAGGTTGATTGGACTACTCCATATAATCGGATCGATATTGTTCGGACCGCTCTGAGTGGGCCTGTATTGCCCGGGCGTGTCCACCAGTCGCACAGCATCACCAGCTGCTCGTTTATGACGATGAAACAGTGAAATCGATACTCAATCCCAGAGAGAATAGCACCGCTCTCAGTACAGCCGACCGACAGTGTGCAGGTGCCACTGCACTCATCGCTTGGTAACAATCCAATTCGGTAATCGTTTTACAGAAGCGCCGAGCCGCGCGCGCCGCAGGACCGGTGAGGCGTCATTTTATTGTGATTGTTGTCTCGTTCCACCCAGTACAGAATTGACAAGTGTCACCACCACGTAGGTACTTGACTGATACAACTTTGGCTCGGAACGAAACGAATTAGTAACTTGCTTCTAGCCTGTTCTCTCCGCGCGTCTAACAAAGTCTCGTCAGGTCACCCGGGCCGACAAGTTTTACAAGTAAGACGGTAGTACTGAGCAGGTGCGGCCGGGATCACTCGGGGTGTCCGCTGTCCGTTTTATGGCATGAAAACCGAATCGATAGTTGTCGACGAAACTACCCCCCCTCTCTCCCTCTCCCTCTCCCTCTCCCTCTCTCTCTCCCTCTCTCTCTCTCCCTCTCTCTCTCTCTCTCTCTCTCCCTCTCCCTCTCCCTCTCCCTCTCCCTCTCTCTTTCTCTCTCTCTCTCTCTCTCTCTCTCTCTCTCTCCTCTCTCTCTCTCTCTCTCTCTCTCTCTCTCTCTCTCTCTCTCTCTCTCTCTCTCTCCTCTCTCTCTCTCTCTCTCTCTCTCTCTCTCTCTCTCTCTCTCTCTCTCTTCCGTAACACGGGACAGTAAATGGTGCCATTGAGTTTCACTAACATTATTGGGACGCTTTTGTTTAGTTGACATCTTATTGTGCAGAGACTCTGAGCATTTACCGAGATATGAGAGTGCAAATTGGCACAATTCAGACTTTAACAAAATTAGTCAGTCACGACAGCTTGTTGCTTTTATGCATTTTGGGCTTTGGGAATCTTAACTGCTTAATGATCTGCCGACAAACTGACGGGCGAGCGTGAGAGGCGTTACGCGGCGGCGATGATGTTGAACAAAGAAAACAGGAAGACTAGTTGAGAGCATCACGACTCGAACCAAAGGAAACAGGAAGGGAACCACGACAAAAATCAGCATCGACACATCTTCATCTAAATATCAATGCGAAACGCCGCGTAACAGTATCATCATCGGATTCTTTAGATTCCCTTCTGTCGCGTCCCGGTCTGTTTCAACCTATACATGTATCCAGCCGTCCTCAGGAACACATCGTTTGAGATCACTACACATTGATACAAATTGACCTGAGGTCAAAACTCTTAGGTGCATTAGAATCTTATCGTAGAGTGCTTTCATTTGGTTCCTTTGTTGTTTCCGTAGCGCCTATATTTACAGAGTTAGACTGGGGGGTAGATATTGCCCCCCAGGCTGAGATAGTTGGGATTACCTACCTCCGGGCCCGGCCGGGTTAACATAACTGTCATGTCTTCTAAGCATAAATTCCGGATTCCAAAGAAAACAAATTTTCGAGAAGCTTTCGGCATTGCGCCATACTCAGCTCTTCATCGCCATCATCAGGGGTGATGTAGAGCTGATGATGGCGCAATGCCGAAAGCTTCTCGAAAAGTTGTTCCCTGTCGAATCCAAAATGTATGGTTAGAAAGGATAAGAGATCATTTAACCCTCGCCCCGTTGGGGGGCCATTTTGCCCCCCCCCCTGTGCTTTTTCCTGAATAGCAAGAAAAAGGCGGCGCGCAGCGCTGCCAAATTTTCAGTACCTTCCCGGGCATCAATTTGACACCTTCACACCGATTTTCAAGTCTTAGGTCACCTTAGGTCAGGAGTTATTGAGGTCAAACTGAGGTCATGTTCGAGCAAAAATTAGCAAAAAACATGCAATCTTGAAACGCTCACCAAATTTACAGTTACCAAGCAATTTCAAAGTTCTTTATATGGTCTAGTAGACAAAAAGCGGTGCTACAAAACTATTATCTCGGATTTTCAAACATTTTGGGTTTTTGACCCCTAAAAATTCAAAAAATTATTTTTTTTGAAAAACTCAAAAAAATCCAAAAAAATCCGAAATTCGAAAAAACCGGAATACTTATGATAGTCCCTGTGCTCTTCTATATGCATACCAAATTTCAGATCGATATCTCGATTTTTGGCCAAGTTATAGTGAAAAAAAAACTGTTCAAAAATGATGACGTCAAATTTTTGAACTCAATTTTCAGCGATTCTAGACCACGTAGGGCAAAACAAAGACCACCATTGAATTCCCCGTGACGAGCTGCATCGAATCGATACCAATTTTATGCAAAAATATCAACTTTGAAATTTGACCTAATTTGACCTGACCTTGACCTGACCTTGACCTGATCTTGACCAAAACGTGACCTAAGCTGGCCCAAAAGTCTGCCTGACCCACACAATCGCATTTGTCATGTAAAATGGACCATAAAACATGTATCACACGACACTTTCATATCGTGACCCCCCAGTGACCTGACCTCTGTGACCTGACCTGGTATCAGTGACCTCAAATAGCAAAATATGTGTTTGAAGAACATTTCCCCATCGATGATTTTCAATGAAATGCATTTTACTCGATTTTACAACGCATTTCTTGAAATGTCTGCAAACTGTGAAAATTCGACCTTTGACCTAACCTGTGACGTCATCGGTTTGACCTAGGTCAATAAAATTGGGTCACACGGTAGTTCCCTGATAGGGCGATCCAACACCGTTTGCCGCTTGTCGCTAGGTTGCGTGGTTCTCGAGATCTTAGGGGGGGCCAAATTGCCCCCCCCCCCCACTCGGCAGAGCCCAACGGGGCGCGGGTTAATTTTCTTACATTTTTGCTATGTCTCTCAAAATATCGTTGGATATTTTGACCTGAAAGGTCAGCAACAACAACAGGTGATAAAAAATTGACCTGAAAGGTCAACTAATAAATTGAAATTGGGTAAAGGTCACAGAAAAGGTCATAATGCTTAGGCTATTTGTGTACCGTTAAGCTGAACATATCTATTCTATGGTGTTTTCAGCGCTCTCTATCCAAGTTATCTCCTCTCTTCTCTTCTCTTCTCCTTCTTCTCTTCAATCATAAGTAATTTTAAAAAAAAAACTGTTGGAGACGTTTCATGTGCTGAGATGGCCTCAGGGACATAAAGGGGGTCACGGGTGCAATCTTCCGATTCAGTGTGTCATGCTTACCTCTGTCCCGATGTTAAAAAGTGTTCGTTCAAAAGAACATTTCAGTGTGCTCCGATTGATATTATGGGCATTAGAGAGATCGCAAAATGGACCTGACCTTAGATCACCGATATCAAAATTCCTAGAAATATATATTGTTCACACTGATCCCTTCATGCAATAGTCTGAGTTTCAAACTTCTATAGAAGTTTCTATAAGTTCTATAGAAGTTTTTAGAACTTCTTTAGGGTGTAAAGTGTGGCCTGACTTTATGCAACCTGGAATCAAAACTTTCATACACGATGCGAAATTGATTACCTATCACAAGCTATAGGTACCATAAGTCGCGGCGCTGCATCCGACGTTTTTTTACACACGAAAAAACTGGCTGGTGTGGCCGAAAACGTCCGCCCCCCCCCCCCCCACTGACCCGGTTGAAGTTTATCACCAAGAACAATAAGAAAAAAATACATATTCTTTTGTGTCTCCCGTGGTGCCGATTCATTGAATTACTCGGTATGAAAAAAAAACACATTTCCGTCTCCACCGCGGCCTCAATTCTCCTTGCAAGGGCTGGAGCTGCATGATTCCGAGTAACCACTGTTAGATGCCGTACACACGATGTGTGTATTTATGCCATGCGCCAGGCTTGCCAAGACGGTGGAACGTGTCACGAGCCCGGGACCACCTCCGGGCACCCCCGTCCTGCACGATCAGGGTCACCGCTGACGAATAGCCAGATCCCAAACTGCGCTGTTAGTGTTGTGGCGGAACGGAAAAGTGCCGACTGGCTGACTGGGCCGCCGCGCTGGTCCGACTTACGAGACCAGCTCGAACCGCGCGGAACTGGTAATACAGTGTGCGAACACAACATCGTGAATTACCTATGAAAAGCAGCATAGTGAAAATATAATGATCATTACCTTTTATAGACGACATTTGGCTAGATGTGTCAAACACCAACAACCACAAAGCAGGTCCAAACGCCATTTAGATGATAGATCAAAGCCTATCGATATGACTCGACAACCACGACGCTATCTTTAGTATGTGATAAACGAACAAGACCACAACGCTGCACAGTAAGCCCCGTTCGCGTTGGCTACGTGTCCAATCTCCCCGGCGTTCCCCATTCCGCTCTCCACGGAGAAGGGAGGGGAGGGGAGGGGAGGGGGGTCTGGCGGGCCGAGCGCTGAGCGCTGACGAGGCCTGTGCTCTGTTTACCCACGGCATAGGGTTATCGTGGCCACAGAGCACGGGCATGAGTAAGGCGCCTTATCTGCTCCCCCTCAACTACGGAGTCACTGATTAACAGATGGTGAGGTCCCGGGGGAACAGCGAAACACCCCGTCTATACAAAGAGGATTACCCGCACATCTCCCAACACTCATGGTACTTTTTACTCTAGATGAGGCCCGGTCATATCTTATCGAACTGCTTCACAATGCACAAAACAAAACAATGCTCGTGGGTAGGTACCCACGAGCCTCGTTGGACATATCAATCCTCTATTAATATCCAAGAGGGTGGGGATTATCGACTCCCCCCATCACCGTTTGCCCCAAAAATGTCTACAGCCACATAAAAAAACAGCGAGTGTGTCCGTCGTTAAAAGGTGCAACGACTGCTACCCGAATTTTATATTTCAGGTCAGTCGGTGACCTCTGAGGGTAGGTCTAGGCTGCAGTGCAGGAATCCAATTTACGGCAATTAACTCATTTAACGCCGAGTGGCAAGTTTCCAACTACAAAAAACCTAGTGCTGAAGGCAAGGTAACAACTTAACCAGCGCATGACTGGGGTATTTTCCATAACGCGAGTGACAGAGGGGGGGCTCTCCAGAGCCCCCCCCCTCCTATCTCCGAAACTACTGGGACGATCGACGATCGTCAAAATTCAAAGGGCGTCTGTCTGATAGCCCTGGAAAACTGTCGAGCGAAACCTATTTTCATTGACCTCGATGTCACCGATGACGTCACAGGTCAGGTCAAAGTAAAAATTATCGGCATTTTTGCTTGTTTACAATTTAGGCTTTGGCCGCCGACTGACAAGTCCGATCAGGCTCATTTTTGGTTTACGCACTCCTTGATATATACCTTAGATATCCTGAGGGTACCGAACTTTTACTTCGAATTTTTCAGGTCAAGGCCAGGTCATCCTAGGTCACGAAAACTGTATATCATGTATCGATCACGTGACGCATGTTTTATGGTCCATTTTACACGTAGATTTCAAAAATAATGTCTGTGTCATTTGAGCATTTGTGCACATGAACAGCATTTGTGGGATGCCTAATCAGCATAGTCTATTCTTATCATGATCAGACGGTTTTGGTCATGTCCTGTGCGCAACATGCTTCACAAATTAACCCGCGCCCCGTAGGGGGGGGGCCGAAACGCCCCCCCTGTCCTTTTCCGTCCATATCTCCTAAACGGCTGGAGATATCGCCACCGAACTTTCAGGACCCCTACGGACATCAATTTTACACATTGTGACCAAATTTTTTTCTCCAGAGGCTATAATAGGTTGGCCACAAATGACGTCAGAATGACGTCATGTTCTGCCATTTTGGACCGAAAAAAGACCTTCGCGAGAAGAGCTGTCAGGCCTACAGCTTTGAAGATACAGAAAAATGATCAACACGTAAAAGGTGTAGAATTGACATGGCTACAAAACTGCTATCTCGGATTTTTGATTTTTTTTTTAGTTTTGAACCCCCAAAATCAAAAATGCAATTTTTTGGATATATAAGCCAAAAAATCCAAAAAGTTTTTTTGAGTTTCGAAAAAACGGAATATATGTGATAGTACCTACCATCTTCTATCTAATCTACATACCAAATTTCAGATTGATATCTCGTTTTTTGGCCAAGTTATAGGGTAGAGTGGGGCAAAGCGCCCAGGGCGGGTCAAACGCCCACCCCTCTTTTTTATGAAGTGTTCGACTTTTCGAAGAATTCTTGATAGCCATTTTCAAGAACGAGCAGGAATCTACTTTTGCCCCCTTTTTCGGTTCTACAAGTGCGTTGTTCTAGACGTAAGATAAAAATTAGTTTATTTCAGACAATTTTTAGAAATTACATGTTTTCATACTACTAAAACTTTGTCTGATAGAGATTAAAGTAGGCAATGAAATTTAGCTACGCAGAACCTGCGGATTGAAGCTATGTTTTGAGCATTTACTGGTTTGCAACACAATCGTCACACGCTTAATTTTGGTGGACTTCGTTTTGAATGTGCTGTTGGGGTAACACACCCACTTTTGTGTGGGGCAAAACGCCCATCATGGGCGTTTTACCCCTAATGGGAGTTATACAGTACGGGTATTTGCGAACATTTTTGGCTGAAAGTGAGTGTCGGGATACGTTTCTAATGCTCAGGAGTCTTATGAAATATGCAATATACTGGTTAGTATCGCCTGGAACAATTTATTCGCACGAACTAATCTCCGCTCTCCAAGGCGGTGACAGCCCGTTGACTGAATGAGGAGTGGGGTGGTAACAACAGTGTTCAAGATGTGTTTAGTGGTGTAATCTATCGATTTAAAGTCAAACGAAATGAGAATGGATAAATACTGCATTATTTTGTCAGAGTACCGAGCGTGTAATGAAACGTTCAGGACTGGGAGTTATGCCCCACTCCACTCATATGGGCGTTATGCCCCATGGGTGGGGCAAAACGCCCGATTTGTAGTCCTCTCAATTCGGATGGCATATCTCAAAAACCATGCATGCCACTTGTTTCTGATGTGTTATTCGAAGAAAGCCAAGGTAATGAGCTACCAGATCAGCTACCTAGTTGTCTTTCAAATTTGTAAGATAAAGAGATACTGGGGCTGGAAAGTTAGGGTGGGCGCTTTGCCCCACTCTACCCTAGTGTAGCGAAAAAACTGTTCAAAAATGATGACGTCAAATTTTCAAACTCAAATTTTGGCAATTCTAGACCACGTAGGGCAAAACAAAGACCACCATTGGACTCCCCGTGACGAGTTGCATCAAATCGATACCCATTTTATGCAAAAATATCAACTTTGAAATTTGACCTAATATAACCTGACCTTGACCTGACCTTCACCAAAACGTGACCTTAGCTGGCCCCAAAGGCTGCCTGACCCACATAATCGTATTTGTCATGCAAAATGGACCATAAAACATGTACCTATCACACGACACTTTCATATTGTGACCCCCCAGTGACCTGACCTCTGTGACCTGACCTGGTATCAGTGACCTCAGATAGCGAAGTATGTGTTAGGCGAACAATGTACCATCGATGGTTTTCAATAACTTACCAATTTACTCGATTTCACAGCACATTTCTTGAAATGCCTGTGAACGGTGAAAATCCGACCTTTGACCTGACCTGTGACGTCATCGGTTTGACCTAGGCCAATGAAATTTGGTCACAAGGTAGTTCCCGGGTGGGGCTATCGAACGCCGTTTGAATTTTGAAAATCGGCCGGTAAATTTCCGAGATCTTAGGGGGGGGCCGAAACGGTCCCCTCCCCCCTACGGGTGGTAGGGTCCGCCGGTAGCCCTACGGGGCGCGGGTTAAGAAATACATAGACGGGGCAGAGACGGCCGCCATATTGGCTTGACGGTCCCAAAAAAAACGACCCTGATTTTTCAGGGTGCCCGATATTTCCGAGCATTTTCGGCTTATTTTGATCCAGAGAGGATGTAGGCATGCTACCAGCGTCTCAAAACTTCAAAGCACTCTACTCATTATTTTTGAAATCTACGAGTAAAATGGACCATAAAACATGCGTCACGTGGCCGATACATGACATACAATTTTCGTGACCTAGGATGACCTGTCCGTGACTTGAAAAATTCGAAGTAAAAGTTCGGTAACCTCAGGGTATCTAAGGCATATATATCATGGAGTGCGTAAACCAAAAATGAGCATGATCGAACTTGTCAGCCGGCGGCCAGAGCCTTGTGAACAAGCAGAAATGCCGATCATTTTTACTTTGACCTGACCTGTGATGTTATCGGTGACCTCGAGGTCAATGAAAATAGGTTTAGCTCCACAGTTTTTTCCAGGGCTATCAGACACCGTTTGAATTTTGATGATCGGCCCAGTAGTTTCGGAGATAAGAGGGGGGTCCTGGAGAGCCCTCCACCACCACCCCAGTCACTCGCGTTATGGAAAATATCCCAGTCATGCGCGGGATAAAAAATGAAGCTTAGCTAAACATCTATAAGCGACAATTTTGACTTGATTGAGAGGATATTGGGGAAAGATATTGGGGAAAGATGTCATTGCCATCGTGCTTGTCTGTGTTGCAGACTGCAGTAGAAGGAAAGGTTTTGGTTCGTGTCAGGCACGTAGCTAGGATTTGGCCAAGGGAGGGGCGGAGGAATTCCGGGGGGCCTCCTTTCTACAGAGGGCCTCCTCCCTAAAGGGGCCTCCTTTCTACAGAGGGTCTCATGCCTACATAATTACATATACAACATAATGCAGACTTTTGTTCAGCTTTCATATGGCCAGCGCACTGGTATGTTTTTTATTCTTACCGCTGTCGCGGTAAGAAACATACGCATATCACAAGTCTCCGAGTGGCATGGTAACTGGCAAAAAAAAAAAAATCGGGCGCCGGCGGCGGCGGCGGCGGCGGCCGGACCGCAGCAGGAGGGGGAGGATCTGCGAGGAATGGGTGGATACTGGATGACGGTCAGAGTAACACTTGGTGTATTATCATATATCGTTCAAGCGCTTAACCGTATTCCGGGCGGGCTCTGAAAGACTCTGAATCGGGCGGGGGCCTTTTTGGCCCCCGTCAGAACTCGAAAAGCACGAATCGTAGCGACAAACGGCAACGGCGTTTGATAGTTCGTTGAACGACTTACAACCTTTGTAAACAACTTTTTTGGGTCAGGTCAATATTGAGGTCGCCAGAGGTCATAACAAATAACATGGTTTATAACGACCTACATAGATAGGTCAACTTCAAAATCTGACCTAGGAAGGTCACTCTGGGTACCAATCGGCGCGTCATGACCAGGCGAACGGTTTGGTACACTAACAACTATTTAGCCCCATCATGTCGTGATTTATTGGCTAAAAGCTGTTGATGACCTCACCTCACCTCAGATGATCCTTCCCGGTGCCCCTGTCAGTAAATGCCACCTGGGTGCTTACAGATCAGATAATCTGACGTAATTCAGAAAGAATTGGGTGGTTTTGACTCGTTTTCTCGAAGCAGGACACAGTTCATTATATTTTCCAATAGGCTTGTCACGATTCTGACCTCACTGACGTCTGCAAGATTGAAACTATACGGTTATAAATTTTTTTTCTGTGTGAATGATGCCACGTTTATGCTGTAAGTAAAACATGGTTTCGTTAGTAAATTTTCCTAGGTCCAGGTGGTTTGCTTCATTTACGCCGTAGATGAAACAAACAATCGATGGATAGGTATATATTAATTTCCCGGTCAAATAAATTATTATGAGTTGTGCGAAGCATGGCTATGGGAATATCACCACGGTCTGATAA